GGGGGAGCCGCCACCCGGGGAAACCGAAGGCAGAACCCAGTGAACGGTCCTGGGCACACCCACCCCTAAGGAGAGGCTCTGGGTGCCCCTTGCAGCTGGGCAGGGCGCGGGGGCAGGGCATTCCGTGGGCCCTTTGAGACTTCACCACTGGGGGCTGGGGCGGCCACTGGTGGCTCCAGGTCCAGGGAGCGAGGATGGCGACACGGTTTCTGGTTAATGATTGTAGCTGGACACAGTGTTGCAAGATCGGACAGGCAGGGGGGAGGGCGGAGGGCTGGTTCCCCTAGCCCATTCAGTCCCCCAGGTGACCCGCCGGGGTGACCTCCATGCCCCAGGGTCAGGGACATGCCCCCAGGCCAGCAGGCTCAGGGAGGAACACGTTGACAAGCGCTTCACAAACAAAAAACAATCCCCCTCCCTTCTCCTTCCTGAAGAGAAACAGAGACTTCTCCACTTGTATTTAAAATGCAGACTCGGCCCCCCACCCAACTTCAGCCCAGGTCATGACTCCATGCTTCGTGGGTTCGAGCCCCGCATCCGGCTCAGTGCTGACAGCTCAGAGCCTGGAGCCTGTTTCAGATTCTGTGTCTCCCCAAAATAAATAAATATTAAGGAAATGAAAAACTCAAGCTCTATTTGCTGAAGTCCACAAACCACCTGGAATGGTACCCCTGACCTGCCCAGATCATTCTTGGGTGTACTCCCGTCACCTCTGCCTCCAGGCTGGTTACGAACTGCCCGCCCCCGCCCCGCCCCCTCGCCCCCTCCGCGGTGGTCCGCACAAGGCCCAGCACAGTCACAGGCGTGTCCTCACTCAGCCTCCTAATTAAAACCTTCATGGCTTCCCACCGGCTAACAACAAACTCCCGTTTCTTCCCAGAACCCTCCTGGTCCACCTCCGGCCTCTCCCCCACCCCCAGCTCCAGCCACGCCGGTCCTTCTGCCAATCAGTGAACACATCAGGGGGTCCCTGCCTCAGGGCCTTTGCACTACCTGTTCCCTCTGGCTGGGATGCTCCTCCAGGAATCCTTATACTTTAGAGGAGCACTTCTTGTTCAGATTTCCACTCAGATGTCCCCTCTGGAAAGAGGGTCTCCCCAGTGAGCAGCGCTCCTCGCCAGGAGCTTTCCCAGGCTCTCCTTTTAATTTATTCACGGCACTTACTACCGCTGAAATAACGGGGTTTGCACAGGGGTTGATGTCTGGCTGCCTCTCCGGAAGGCTGGCTCTGTGAAAGGGGCTGTCTTGTTTTCTTGTAGCCCCTGTAACTCATCTAGAGCCAGTGAATATTTATATAAAGACTAATCGCCCCTCCTGGCGGACGAGGGGGGCCCTCCGGGGTGGGGCTCAGCGCGCGGCAGCAGACGCAGGGCAGGCCGCCTGCTCCCGGCCTCCTGTAGCTGCCCCTGCGAAGATCCCTGGCTTCTGCACTGAGGGGCCCCGTTCAGCTCAAGGCCAGGCCCGTGTCCGTCCCCGGTGACCCGCCTCAGCCCTGGCACCTTGGCTCCCCAGTGGCCGTCGGGCATTTCTGCATTTACTCTGCACAGAACCACAATGCCGGTTCCCATGAAAAGCAACGGCTGCCGCCAGGGCCGCGGGGCCACACGACTCCAAAGGCGCCCCCTGCATCCTGTGCTCTGTCTGAAGAGTTGGCCCTGGGGCCTGAGGGCGCTGTGGTCCCAGAGAAGGAAGGGGACAGAGAGGGAGAGGGAGAGAAGCCAAGATCCCCACGGCAGCTTCCGGGGCCCTTCCCCGCCTGGACACCCTCCCAGAGGGCGGCGGGGGAGATCTCAGCACACATCACCCTGGCTCTCGGACAGGAAGCACCGACGCCCGGGGAAGGCAGGTGGCCTGCAGGGAAGGAACACAGCAATCGGCCTGGAAGGCACAGGCGGCCTCCCCTGGGCATATAACCCCGTCCATCCAAACTTCTTCCACACCCTCCCTTCCTGTCCCCAACCCGGTCCCCTGGAAGTGGGCAGAGACTTCCAGCTCCAGGGAAGATGCTCAACCCTGCAAACCCAGGACGGGGGTGGAGGGAGGTGAGGGTGGAATCGGGCACTGCCCAGTGAGGCCCCTGTGAGCCAGCAGGTGGGGGACTTAAAGGGTGGCATTGAGACACTCCCTGACTGCTTCGGGGGGGCAGAGGATGCAGACCAGTGACGTGGATTGTTTTTTTAATGTTTTATGTATTTTTGAGACAGAGAGACAGAGTGGAGCGGGGGAGGGGCAGAGAAAGACGGAGACACAGAACCTGAATCAGGCTCCAGCCTCTGAGCTGTGAGCACAGAGCCCGACGCGGGGCTCGACCCCACGAATGGTGAGATCATGACCTGAGCCTAAGTCCGACTGTTAACCGACTGAGCCCCCCAGGCGCCCCTGCATGTTTAACATGAAACGTAAGGTCTGCAAGGGCAGGGATATTAGGAAGTTTTGTTCCGAGCCCTAGAAAGGCACCTCGCATGAGCACGTGCCCAGCAGATCCACGGTCAACAGGGTCACGCAGAAGGGCAGTCGTCAAGCTGGGACGCAGAGGAAGCAAAAGGTAGAAGGGGACGGGGGGTGACAGTGGAGGTGCCCGGGGACCCTGGGGTGGGGCTGGGGTGGCGAGGGCAGCAGTGTGTCCGGCAGCGGTCCCGCCTTGTCCGGCCATCATCCTCGTCCCCAGGACCCTGAGCACCAGGTCAGCGCTGATGGCGTCCTGGGGGCTCAGGGGGGCCAGGGTGGGGACTTCCCCGCTGGCAAATGCACACCAGGGCGCCCAGGCCCGCAGAGGCAGTCCTTAAGATGGCCCCTGCCCCACTGCTTTGGACAAGGAGGGGCCAGTGCCCGGCCTGCGTGCCCGGAGTTATAGGCTGATGTTCCTCCTGAGTCCTGGAGCCCAGAGCCCCCCTGCCAGCTCCGACACAGCTTCAGGGACACCCTCAGAGACGCCGAAGGCCCTACTGAGGCCACTTTCAGAGTCCCTGGACGGCAGGACCCCCTCTAGCCAGACGGCTGGCAGGGAACCCCTTTCCACCCAGCTGTCTCCCCTCCGGGCCCACGAGGTGCCTGAAGATCCAACATAAGCGCACCCCCAAACGGCTTCTGAGGTCGGGGGCTTTAGCTCGTGGCCCAGGAGGAAAGAGAGTCAAGAGCGTAGGTTGGGTAGGCTGGTCTGATGAACCTCCCCTTGGCCAGGGTCACCCTCAAAGGCTATGATGACTGAAAACGGACGAGGGGAGTCACCCTCTCTGGCTCCTGCTCCGTTTGCAGAAGGGAGTCCAAAGGAACAAAGCGCAGAAGGGAACCGGTACCCTGGCTCGTTTCTCCTCCCTCCAAACTGGGCAGAGGAGGCGGCGGGAGAGAGGTGTCCAGGCAGGGGAGACACAGACGAGCTCCCCCAAACGTGCCTACTCCTCTGCATATACGCCCCCCGGACACGCACCCCACACCCCGGGGCCCAGGGGCCTTCTCTCTCCCTCACCCCACCCCAGGGGCTGAGCCCAGGGAGGGGGGGCGGAGCTGGGAGTCCTCTCTCTCTCTCTCTCTCTGTCACCCCACACCCCGGGGGGCTGGGAGTCCAGGGCCTGAGCACACATCTGTCTCTGAGTGACTGGGTACAGAGACTGTCATAGCCACAGACCCTAGGACCACAGCCCGCACTGCTGGGGACACTCCGCTGAGACACAGGAGCACCCCTCCCAGATGGCCCGCCTGCTCACGGATCGGGGGCGGTGAGGGAGAGGCTGAGCATGGCCTGGAGACAGGTCCGCGTCTGGGGGGCTGAGTCCTGACGTGGGGGGGCAGCGCGAGCCGGAGGGTGACTGGGCAGAACTCTGTGAACACGCTCGGGGGTCCTCCCTAAGCCCTGCTCACCGGGCCCCCCGCCAAAGCCTGGCCCCCAGCCCGGAGGCAGTGGTGGCGTTGGAGGGAAAGCAGACGGCAGCCCCCCACCGCGGGATGCGGGCGCACGGCCGGCCGAAGAAGAGGCTCAGAACCGAGTTTCTTCCACTCTCTCAGTCTCACTGCCCGCGAGGCCGGGAAGGAAGAACCTGGGAACCCCATCTGGTAGATGGGACTACTGAGGACCTGGGAGGGGACGGACTAGGTCAACCAGCAGGTAAGGCTGAGGAATGACCCTTAACCACTAACCCAGACCCAGCCAGGTGGGTGAGTGCCCCCCCCCCCCCAACAGACTCTCAGCTTCCTTTCCTGGGCCACCCTGACTCCACGCCACAGTCCCCGTCAGCCCGGGCGCCAGCTTACTCACTCCCTGACACCCTGCCTGTGAGGCTGCAAAGACGGGACTCGGAGGATTCTCACAGAGCCCACACGGCCGCTGGAGGGAGGGGAGACCTACCCCCGCACCCCCAGCCCCCCAACACACCCACAGCAGGGAAAGGCAAACAGAGCCAGAGGTGGGAACGGGCTGCTGCGGGGGCATCTCGGGCCCCAGGCCGGCTGTGCAGCCAGCACACTGGCCATCCACACCTGCCCCCACAGTCTCTCTGCCTCAGTTTCCCCCTTTGTGAAAGGGGGAGATGAAGGGAGCACAAGCCTGGCCCAAAGCAGCAACCACTACGCGCACTGCGGAGTCACGACTAGCTGCCTCAGTTTCTCCAACCAGACCGTGCAGTGGGTGCAGAGGAGCCCCGGTCCTTCCCGGGGTGAACTCAGGGCCGAGCAGGGCGCCTCAGCAGCAGCGCCCGGGGCTCGGGGGGCCGCCTTCGGACGGGGCAGCGCCAGGCTTCCCCGGCCCGCGCTGGACCGCGTCTGTCCGGGGGCTTCCAGGCGCCCGGGGGGCGCGGGCGAGGTCAACGAGGCTGCCTCCCTGCGTGGGCCCAATGCCCTCTGCCGCCCACAACTGGCCCGGGTCCCCGGGCTGCGGGGCCCGAAAGATCGCGCCTCGCGGGCGTGGGGAGACCGACCCCCAAGGGCGGCAAGCCCCCCCCACCCCTGCCCCCCAGCGCGGGAGGAGACGGCCGGTGCCCCAGTGCAGGGGCCCGGCGGGCACTCACCCGGGCGCAGGGCGCGGGGCGCGGCGCCCAGAAGTAAGAGCGCGGCGCCCAGACACGCGGCCGCCAGGGCGCGCCGCCGCCAGCAGCGCCTCCCCATGCTGTGCGGGGCGCGCGGGCTGCCGGCCGCCTGGTCCGGCGGGGGCGGCGGGGACCCGCCCCGGGACCCGCCCCGGGACCCGCCCCGCCGGGCCCGGCCCGCCCGGCGGCGCGTACCAAGGCCCGGCGCGGGGGTGCGGGCTCTCGGCTCGCAGCGGGGAGGGGCCGAGGGGGCGCGGCGGCGGCCTGCGGGGGACCCGGGGGGGGGCGACCGCGGGCGGCGCGCCCCGTGCGGCCCCCACGCCCCACGCGGGCGGCAGTCGGGACGCAGCCTGGGTCGGAAGAGCGCGGTCGTCGGTGAGGCCCCGCCCCCTTCGGTCCGCCCCGGGGTCCCATTCTCCACCCGCGGCCAAGAAGCGCCCGCGAAGTGGCAGGTCCGCGCGTCGGAGGGGCGCTGTGTCCACGTGGGGCTTTGCCGCCCTACGTGATGGGGGAGGGGGCAAGGGCTGGTGTCGGGGAGCCGACCTCCGCGGACCACCAGCCCGATCTTCGGTCCCGACAGTCAGGCCTAGGAGTGCCCTTGACTCCCCCAAGGTCACGCGGCAGCCTGTTTCCACGGGTCCCCAGGTCCTGCCCCAAATCATGTAGGTCCTCCCTGGCCAGACTCCGGGAGGACAGGTGGGGGACCTCAGTTCCCGCCCCGCTGGATATCGGGGCGCTGCCTCCCCGGGTCCCCGCAGCTCATCCGGCCCCCAGGTGAGCGCAGGTGAGGACCCCGGCGTGTGAGCGGACAGTGACGTGCGGCCGGTGGAAGGGAAGCATCCAGCCCGGCCTGACCCCCGCACCCCGCTGCGCACGAGCCAGGCTCGCAGGGGCGGAGGGCGCGCTGAGGGCGGTGCAGGGGTGAGGGCCGGCCGACCCCCGCACCCCGCTGCGCACGAGCCAGGCTCGCAGGGGCGGAGGGCGCGCTGAGGGCGGTGCAGGGGTGAGGGCCGGCCGACCCCCGCACCCCGCTGCGCACGAGCCAGGCTCGCAGGGGCGGAGGGCGCGGTGAGGGCGGTGCAGGGGTGAGGGTGTGCGCTGCAGCTAGCACTTAGCGTGTGTGCGCGGCAGAGGGCGCTGCGGTCAACCACGCCTTTCTAGCTGCTCTTGAGAGATCCGATTGCAAACCCGGCCACCGGCCACTGTGTGAGATCAGGAAATCTGCCTGACCTCTCTGGGCCCCAGTCCCCGCTGCAACGGATGGGTGAGTGCTAAGTCCTAGATGTTAGTGATGAACTCATTTTTACAGTTACTGCCTGTTTCTGGCAAGTGACTGGGCTCTGTCGCCGTGGTAATACAGAAATTCCTTCCTGTTACAATTATTCAGGAATTAAACGTCCGTTTAAGGAAAAATATGAAGCAAGGAAGAGTTCTGCTGGGTTAAAGATATGGCCCCAAATGGTGAGGGTAGGTCTCAAATGGCAGAGAAGTGGGAAACCCAGCTCACAGATAAAACCAGAAACTCCTTATCGCGGTTGACCAGCTGATCCGGACAGAGCGTGAGACACATCCAGCTCAGCCCCGGTCTGGCCCGCGGGCAGGGCTGCTGCTGCTCTGGGTCCAGGACCCAGGGATTGACAGCATCCGCATGCCAGGGGGTCCCCGATCTCACCTACACACGCATTCCTGATCCCCCCACTGCCCACATTCTCTGTAAGGGGTCCCCGCCTCTGGGTCCTTCGCCTGCGAGAGTCTTGGTCTCCTTAGTGCCCCCTGGTGGCCAAAGGTGAGAACAACATCTCAGCCCGTCCCTGTTTTAGAAAATTCTTGGAGACCTGATTTCTGGGGGCCCACAGTGGGGCCTCAGTGTCTTCCCTAGGAGGACGGCTCCTGCAGCGTCTGTCTTCTCAAAGGGGCTCACATTCATTCATTCATTCATTCAACAGACACTGAATCACCCACTCTGTGCCCAGGCTCCAGTGGAGCAAACACGACAGATAGGCTCTTTGCCTCATAGAGTTTGCATCAGAGCAAACGGGCATAAATATATAAGGTCACATCAGGTGGCAAATGGGACAATAAAGAAAACAAACTCGGACAAAGGACGGGAAGGTTGTATGTTGCAGGTAATGAGGGTGGTAGGGAGGGTGTGAGTCCCCCGGGGGGGGGGGAGAGTGACACAGGTCCCCGGAGCAGATTCCCAGGCAGAGGACCAGACTCTGCTGCAGCCCCGATGCGATGCTCCTACCTTGCTATTCACTAACAAATCGCACTAAAATTTAGCCGCTTAAAACGATCATTTCAATTTTTGCTCACGTTTTGTGGGTCGAAATTTGGGGAGGGGGCTCACTTGGGTGATTCTCACGGGGGGATCTCCTGCTACTGCCTCAGAGGGCAGCTGGGACTGGTCATCTGGAGGCTGGCTGGGGTCAGCCGCCCCCGATGGCTTCCTCATGCACCAGAGCTGAGTGGGTCGCTGACCTCAGCGCCTCCACCTGCCACGCCCCAGCCCGGGGTCCCCAGGACGTGGGCCGCTCCACGGAGTCTCAGGCTATCTTCTGTCGGTTACCCAATAAGCACTAAGTTTGGCCCGGACTCAGGAGCAGGGCCACACCCCAGCATCGCTGGAAGAAACACCCAAGCGAGGGTTTGCTGGCGTGTTTTAAAACCGCCATGGGCGTGATCCAGGAGCAGCCAGGAGACTGGGGCAGACGAGAGTGGACGGAGAAATCAGAGAGGCAGACGGGGGTCCACATCCCCAGAGCGTCCTGGGCCACACGTGGGTTATTCTAAGCAGTCTGCTGCTGTGTTGCTAGTAGACTGAGGTCCGGTGTGGCCTGGATTGGGGGTCCGAGGCAGGCAGGGCTGGGCTATGTGGTGCTGGTCGCCGAGGGTTGCTAGGAGGAGAGGCTGGCTAACGGAAGCAGCCAGTGGGGTCGAGCGGAGGGAAACAGAGGCAGGCCCTTGATGGCTGGAGAGAGACCACATCAGGCACCACGAACCCAAGGGCTGAGGGCCAGGGAGGTGCCTGCCTGCCTGCCTTTACTCCTTATTACTTTAATTTTTTTATTTGGTTTGTCCATGGAACGAAAGTCAAACACACCAGAGTTGGGTGCCTGGGTGGGTCAGTCGCTTAGGCATCCGACTGTTGATTTTGGCTCAGGTCGTGAGATCGAGTCCCACGTCGGGCTTCGTCCTGAGCGTGGAGCCTACTTAGGATTTCTCTCGCCTCTCCCTCTGCCCCTCCCCCCCAACCAAAAACCAAAACCACCAGAGTTTTGTTCTAGTTGAGGTGAAATTTACATAACATAAAATTAATCATTTATAAATTTTTTAAAGTTTATTTATTTAGAGAGAGCGCGCACAAGCGGCGGAGGGGCAGCGAGGAGAGACAGAATCGCAAGCAGGCTCCAAGCCATCAGCGCAGAGCCCGATGCGGGGCTCCAACCCACGAACCCTGAGACCATGACCTGAGCCGAGATCAAGAGTCGGACGCTTAACCTACTGTACCACCCAGGCGCCTCTAAAATTAATCATTTTAAAGTGTGCAATTCGTGGGGCGCCTGGGTGGCTTAGTCGGTTAAGCGTCCGACTTTCGCTTAGGTCATGTTCTCGCGGTTCGTGGGTTCGAGCCCCGCGTCGGGCTCTGTGCTGACTGCCAGCTCGGAGNTGGGGCGCCTGGGTGGCTTAGTCAGTTAAGCGTCCGACTTTCGCTTAGGTCATGATCTCGCGGTTCGTGGGTTTGAGCCCCGCGTCGGACTCTGCTGACTGCCAGCTCAGAGTCTGGAGCCTGTTTCAGTCTGTGACTCCCTCTCTCTCTGACCCTCCCCTGCTCACGCTGTCTCTCTCTCTCTCCTAGAAATAAATAAAACATAAAAAAAAATAATTAAAAAAAAAATAAAGTGTGCAATTCGGTGGCATTTAGTACACTGACAAGTGAACGTCCCATGAGTTTTACAGCGAACAGTCTCCTTCCTCCCCTGCTCTTGTATTTTTTTCAGAGATAGTTCACGCACGTGTGTGTGTGTGTACACTCTCTGCGTACATACTTTCTGTATTACGTACATTGCTCCGTTCCTAGCTTTTTGGTACAGGCAGCAATTAGAAAAATAGTATTTTAGCCAGGCTTATTCCGTAACAAGCACTAAAGCCTTCACATATATTCTCATGTAATCATCAGACACATCCCATGAGGTAGGTACTCTTATTACTTTCATTATACAAATGAGGAAACAGAAGCACAGAAAGGCTGAGAAATTTATCCAAGGACACACAGCTAGAGAGTGTTATAACCAGGGCTTGAACCTACCAGTCGGCCATGAGTAACATCTGTCGAGATCCTCATTCTTTTAAACACTTGGTATGATTTTTTTTAAATGAAGCTCTTTGTTCTTTTGTTTTGTTTTGTTTTCTGAGAGAGACAGAGAGACAGTGTGAGCCCGGGAGGGTCAGAGAGAGAGGGAGATACAAAATCTGAAACAGGCTCCAGGCTCTGAGCTGTCAGCACAGAGCCCGACGCCGGGCTCGAACCCACGAACCGTGAGATTATGACCTGAGCCGAAGTCGGACGCTTAACCGACTGAGCCACCCAGGCTCCCCTTAAACTCTTTATTCTTGTAGATTCACATAAGAAACAATAGAGAGACCTCATGTGCCCGGTTCTCCCATTGATAACATCTTGCAAAACTGCAATTATCACAACCAGGATATTGACATTGATACAATCCATCCATCTTGTCCAGTACAATGTTTAAAACCATTAAAAATTTTTTTAATGTTTATTTTTGAGAGAGAGAGAGAGACAGAGTGCTATCGCGGGAGGGGCAGAATGAGAGAGGGAGACACAGGATCCGAAGCAGGCTCCAGGCCCTCTATCAGCACAGAGCCGGATGCGGGGCCCGAACTCACGAGCTGGGGCTCCATCTGTTGCCGGCTGAGGGTTGGTGCTGGGGCCAGTGGGGACAGGGTGGGGACAGGGCTGTCCGTTCCCGGCTGTCCCAGCCTGCCTCTGCGGGGGAAGAGCAGGTGCTGGGTCATGAGAAGCAGCCCTGGAACAGAGAGGCAGGAGCCGGCCGGTGT